AGGTCTTCCTTGCTGCTTCAACGAACTGCGGATCCTCCGCTTCGAGTCCCGCCGCTTCTGCACCATCCAGGGCCACGCGCAAGGCCTGGCGATCTCTGCTGGCCACTGCATCTTGCAAGCGCCGCCGTGCGACGAGCTTCCCACTTGCTCTGCTCAATGCCTGCCTCGCAGGCTGAATCTCGTCTTCTGAGAGCCCTGCAGACTCTGCCTCTTCCAAGGCTGCGCGCAGCTCGGCTATGTCACCAGACTTCACAGCTTCCAGCAAGCGCGTCCGGGCCGCAAGCTGCTTCTCCGCAAGGCTTAGGGCACTCTGAGCTGTCGCCAGCTCAGCAGCCGCAAGCTTGGCAGATCTCCCCTCTGCCAGGGCTGCGCGCAATTCGGAAGCTTCACCGCTCTGCTCAGCTTGACGTAGCTGCACTCTGGCCCTTTGCTTCCGAAGCTCCTCCTCCAAGCAAGCTTTAGCTGCTTCCAGTTCCTCGTCCAAAATCCCTGCAGCCTGTGCTCTGGCAATGGCTTCTTGCAGGAGTTGAGGGTCCCGTGCAATGACGGCTTCATGAAGCTCTCGTCTTGCTCTGGCCAGTGCCTCCAACTTCGCCAGCGCGGCACGACCTTGCGATATTTCTGCATCTGGAAGTCCCGCCGCTTCCGCTTCGACGATGGCCGCCTGCAGACGCGAAGCGTCACCGCATGTGATGGCTGCATTCAGAGCCTCTCTCGCCGCAGTCTTGCGGCTTTCCTGGCCCAAAAGCTGTCGTGCAGGCATCAGCTCATCCGCAGACAGGCCAGCTGCTTCACCGACATCCAAGGCCGAGCGAAGTTGCGCTGGATCCCTCGTAGCAATGGCATCTGCGAGCTCTTTGCGTGCCAGTGATTTGCGCTCCAAGCCTGCGAGCATTTGCCTTGCAGCTTGCATTTCTTCTTCCGAAAGGAGCCCGTTTCCGAACTCAAGCGCCTCTTGCAACTTCACGGCATCCTGACTTTGCATTGCTGCTCTCAGCTTTGCCTGCGCTTCACTCTTTCGCATCACCTCTTCCAACCTCGGCCATACCCCGAGTGAGAAAGGGCTGGCAAAAGGTAAGGTCATGGTGACTGACATATGGTGTCAATAAGACTCGGCCAAAGGACACGCGCTGGGCATCTTGGACAAGGGAGTCATCGGCACCGTTCTGTCGACCGAACTCAATGGCGCGCTGCAGCATTCCAGGATCCCTGCAGATGAAAACAGCGCACAGTTGGGAGGCTCAGTTGAAGACGAAGGGAAAGACAAGCATGAAGCTTTCGGCAGGCCCAGCCGGCCCAGCCTTGTGCTGATAGCATCTCTCAGGCTCTGGTCCACAGCCTTCCTGCTTCCAAGTGCCTGGGGTCAAATGCAGCGATGGCCGCACCCCTCAGAACCAGGGCATCCCCGAAGGTAAAAATGACGTCGACATGCCAAGAGCTTGGCGGCGAGGAGATCCCTGGCTCGGGCAATCTCGCAGGCATCGACGCCAGCCCTTTGTGCCAGCGAAATTGCCTGAACGGCAATTGCCAGGAACGCAGCTCCACTCAGAATGCCGTGTCAGCCCTGCCGCAGGGGCCCTGCCTCTTGCAAGCGGGCTTCGTCACCAGCATCTATGGCTTCCTGCAGTGCTCCCTTTGCTCGAGCCTCGCACCAGTGCTCCGGCTCCCACAACGGATCAGGCGATGAGTACCACCATGATGAAAGATGTCTGCGAGGCCTTCCGCTCTTCTTCGGCCAAGATCTGACGGGCAGGGGCGAGCTCCTGAAGGCTTCAGCTCTTGAAGTCCCTCTTTGCAAGCTATCGTCCACATGTCCTCCTCCGGCAAGCTGGCTGCCTCTCCATCCTTGGTACAGCACGGGATGATAGCCTGCGACGTCACAAGGTGGCTACTACTTGTATTGCGCTTTCGGGTGGGGAGTGGCTCTTCCAAGCCGTTGCTCCACGGCACACAATGCGCAGAGGCAGATTGACGCAGATTGCTATGCACTTCCCCGATCGATCCTCCTCTGCGATCTCTGCGGCTGTTCGGATGGCTGGCACACATGGCGGCTTGGGGTAATAATGTGAGCACATGCAACAGCACTGGGTGCCGCGCTTCTATAGCTTCTCTTAGGTGTTCCACATCGCGACCTGCCCACGGTTAACGAAGATTAACCTCAGAGTGAAAATTCAGGAGACCTATGAGAAGACTGAGGCGACAGCCCCGCATTGCCTCTTGTAGGCGCTCTCTGACTTGATCCCTCCACTCCTGCAAACTGCTAGACGCGCTCTGTCGTTGCCTTCTAATGAAATCTTCGAGCCTCCCGGGCCAAGGCTTTTCGTGCTTCTGCCATGCTTGCCTGCCCCAGGGTGACGGCAAGGAAAGCGAAGCGAAGCCGTCCCTTTGGCCTCGCCTCGCCAAGGCCAGCTGCCTGGGCATCCTCGAGCGCCCGCCGGAGCCGTGCAGAGCTCCGCGGCATCTCCAAGGCATCCTCGAGCCTTGGAGTCTTTGGCGGCGAAGAGAGGATGTCTCCAGGCTTGGGCAGGGGCTCATCCTGCGCGGCTTCCTTCTCCTCTAGATCTTGCAGCTTGGACCGCGCTGCCTCATGAGACATGCGGCACGGAAGGCCTTCTTAGGTCTTGCAGGGGAACAGAAGCACCGATCTAGCCTCGAGCTCCTCCGGTGCAATGCCGACCTTCTCAGCATCATGCAGCGCTTTTCGGAGGTGCGCCTCTGGCGGGAAGCCCTCGCACTGTTCACGATTTGGCAGCGATTGCCAAGGCCCCCACGGCATTGCCTTCTGCTATGGCACCGGACAGAGCGGTGGCCTTCACAACAGCGTGAAGCGATGAGAGGTGCCAGGGCAGCATCAAGGTTGAGGTTTGTCTTGAATGAATCTCAACCCCCATGACTCATGACCATGCCTCGGGTAGGTGTCCTGACAGGAGTTGGACGGTGCATTGCATCAAGAATGAGAACCGCAAAGCGTCCTCCCCCTAGACCTGCACCCACCACGGTCAGTGCAGCTGCCTCGCCACGTTGCGCTTACACCCGCGAGCCAGAGAGGCTGCTATTGAAGCGCACGCCTGCTTGTGCAGTGCCGAGGCCTTCTTTCTATCTCTGCGCGCGCGGCCTTGGCGCTTCATGCGCTCCTCTGCCCCCCATGCCATACCCTGGCCTGCGATCTGAGTTCGCGGCGCTCCTCCTCCGTGGCCGTGGCCTCCGCAGCCGCCTCAGAGAGTGCGAGCCGTGCCAGGCCCAGGCGCTAGGCACGGGCCCCTGGGCTCCCCCGCTTGCAAGTTGTGGAGGCCCCTCGTGAACTCCCAGCAAGACACTCGGCCGTCCCCTTTCAGATCGAAGGCCTCCACAGGCATTTTCGCTTCGCTCGGCTTGCAGTAGGCTGGGGGCGCCTTGAACACGGCAGCTGTGACTTCGGGAGTGGCATCGAAGCCCAGGCTTGCAAGAGCGCCCTCGAAGGCTCGAGCAAACAGAGTCCCGTCGACTATGCATTCGCAGCTCTCTCAAGGCCTGGAACTCCTCTTCGTCGAGACCACCGCATTTCTTGAGGTCCCACTGCTTGAAGGCGTTTCGAAGGTCAATCTGCCACGAAACGCGATCAGAACCCACAACGAGACTTCTTCGTCGGCCTCCTTTTCGAAGATGACATCAGCAATTCGTGCTGCCGACCGCCGCAGGCCACTCTCAGAAGAGTCTGTCAGCTTATCCTGCAGGCATCTGACCAGAAGTTCCGTCTTGGCCCGTGGAATGGCAGTCCTTGCTGGCATGGGGCGCGCTGCCTGCCACAGAGCCAAGCGGTGGTGACGGGTTGTCGCACAGTCTGGCTTTCAGCAGCCTGCTTTGCCGCCGGAATGTGACGGGCGACGGCGCCCTGCTGGAGCCGTCTTCCTTAGGTCCGAGCTTCGAAGAGCCGATGCAAAGAACTTAATGATGCTAGGGCAGAGGATTTCAAGGCTTTCAAGGCTCGATGTTGGTCTGGCGGTCTCATCGCTGCAAACAAACTCGATGAACTCGGCCTCGATAACAGAACCGCCCCCCGGACACGGCAACAGCACCAGCAGTACGTTCTGCAACCAAGGTCGTGCTGAGGCACGCAGGTCAGGCGGCCGCTGTGGAGCACCTGAAGACGGATTGCGAGATGCGTGCTGGGCTGCCGAGTGATTGGGGCGGGGAGTGGACGGGGCGACAACCTCGAAGGGAGCGAAGGCGGCTTTGAGCTGCTTGTCGGAGACCCGCATACCCAAGCGCTCGGAGGCACGCTTGAATTGCGGATAGCTCAGGGACCCTGCCTGCAAAGTCGTGGCTTCTCGCCTCTTGGCCTTTTCTGCGTACTCCGACTGAGGAAGAAGCCGAATCTGGACCCACGGCATCGAAGGCATCTTGCATGACTGCTCTGTTCGCACGAGCATCGTGCCGCGCTCGCTTGGCCGCATGGAGCTTGACCTCTCACGCACGGCAGAACGGATGGAACATGGGCTCTACTTCAGCAGGCAAGATCTTCAGCTTCAGCACAGGGTCTGGCTGCGATGTCAGCACGCAGCTTCTCATCTCGCACCTTAGCACAGGTTCCAAAGCCTGGCACAGGCTCCTATGAAGCCCAAGGCTGCCACGGCCACGGATGGCCCGGATCCCATCGCTCAAGGCATGACGCAGATCGACACTTCTGCCCTGAAACGCGTAAAAGCCTGGTTTGTCACAGGTTGCACATGAGCATCCCGGGAATGCCCATGCCTGTTGCGAGGTGCCAGACTCATGCTTCCGATCAAGGTGCTGCCTACCTCGCCTAAGCTGGGGTTGACATCACCACCAGTCTGGTTGTCCTATACATCATGTTACTAGCAACAACACTTGAAAAAATTGAACAGACATGCGACAACACGGGCATTGCAGTTCTGCGCCAACACAGGCCATGCCAAAAGCCGCAGGATTGATCGGCTCTCCTCTTCTTTTCGCGATGCTCACACAGTATACTGCAGCATGGAAGGTTCGATAATCTGAAGCTAAGAGGGCTCCGAGGAAGGCTCGCAGGGCTGAGCGTAAAGGTCTTCCTGAAAGCCGGCGAGAGCGCTTCCCTCGTCCTGATCGGCCCGGACTGCATCTTCCAGTGCTGTCCACCGGGATTTCCAGCCGATGCGGCCCCAGCAACGCAGTGCCAAGTACACCACGAGAACTGGAAGGGGAATCAAGAACACTAACTGAGTGTAGGAGCCGTACAATATGGCCAGCCCTATCAGCGATAAGGTGCTTAACAGCAAACCCAGAATCACGCAGTTGAAGAGATCATACCAGAATACACCACTGCCGTCGAACTCCGAATCGTAGACGTGGGTAAACAACCACCTGTACGAGAGCGTTGCCGCAGCAAAGTACACGGCACAAGCCGGTAGGATGGCAGGGGCAATAAAAGAGTAAGTAATCCCAATCACCAGGACGATGGCAATGCTCGATGCCTCATATCCGAAGGCACAGTGGATCTTCGTCCCTGATCCGGAGAGCCCACAGAACCCAAAGCAAACATCCGGCCTCAGCAGCAGAAGAGGAACACCCACGCAGGCTCTGGCCAAGACAAACGACAGGAAATAAACATTGGCTTTTGGAAGAGAGCGAGCCAAGATATCCAGTACCTGTGAAGGTTGATCCAAGATCTTCGTCAGTGAGTCCCACAGGGACCCTGACAGCACGGTAACGTAGAGAGAGGCCAGCTGGTAGTTGAAACAGCGATTCAGCACCTGAAAAGAACAGTCACGAGGCCTTAGAGCCTTAGAACTGACCTGTTGGCCTACTCAGTTACTCCCACACTCAAACCGCATAAAAGGTTGCTCAGGATCCTGCAGAGCACCACCCGTTCCACGCCTGATTTCGTCTTGTGGCCTTCATAACTCCGCGCCATTGCTGCAAAGAAGTAAGGCAGCAGCGCTTGCAGCCCCATGAGCGCAAGTACTGGCAAGTAGCTCGTCATGAGGGCGTACAGTGCAGGGGACCAAGCTTTCAAGTCAGAGACGGCAGGGAACCACTTGGAAAGTGACTCAACGTTAGCCCAGGCCTGAATCAAAGTTACAGGCACTGACCAGAATAGGACGCACACCACGGTGGCTGCCAATCCGATTTTCTGATGAAGCTCCGTCATGCCACGTGGCTTCAGAACATTAGACCATATCAAATCTCGCGGCTCTGGAGCTTCGCGGATCTGCCAACCTGAAGTGTGGCTTAGCACTACCTGTTGGGCTTCTGCACATCTTTCTGCCGACCGGAGTGTCACAAAGGCCGTGGCTGGCCCGGTGTTGACTTGGATAAGGTGCGCGGCTGCTCGGGCTGAGGGGTGAAGGTCCGGCTCGTCATGGCCAAGGCAAACACAGCTATAGACACAAGCAGGTCCATAGAGCTTCTCAAAGAAGGCCGTGACTCCTTGCTCGGACCATGAGGCTGAAGGCACGTCCTCCACCATGAGGGTACGACGGCTCTGGGCAATCGCAGGGCCGCAGGCTCCAGATACTGCTTTCACGAAGTGCTGCCTCTTGATGCCTCAGGTGAAAGCCAATCCGCATGGACAGGCAGCCTCAAAGTACTCCTCGACACTAGATTCAGTTTCCCGTACCAGGGGTTCGCAGCACAACTTCAGCCAGGGCACTTACAAATGCATGCCATTCACGAAGAATCAGGTAGCCGAACGTCAAAGTCAGCATGTAGGCGGCCAAAATCACGCACCAGAAACGTGTGGATCCACCCAACTTGAGGTTCGAAAGGCTCATGGCGTTGAAGCCGCTGGCCTGCCCGGGACCTGTCGCGTACATCGGCAGCAGCACGCAGGACAAGGCCGTGCCTAGCAAGCTGAATTTGAGACCAAGCTGGCAGAAACGAATAAGGATCGTGGCATCTGGATCCAAATCCAACGGTTGATGCCGCTGCTGCCAAACCCTCCGGGCCCAGGCAGTGAATCCGCCAGACAGGAAGCCAGGAAAACGGGAGCAAAGAAACCCGATGCGCTCCTGCGGCGGCAGCTTTGGCGCCAAGAGCTGACGTGTGCCCTCCCTTCTCAGGAAGAGCTCCAAGGCGCCTCACTGAGCTCACTTTTGGTTACCCCTCATAGCACTTTCTGAGTCTCTCATAGTCCCAGTCTTTGCCACACATTCTAGGAACCTGAGCAGGCCCTTTAGAACCTTTGAGCTCACCATAACCCGCAATCTCTTGTCCTTACAAGATCTTACAAGCAGTGTCCGGAGGCACCAAGGAAGACCAGCAGAAGCAGCGCATTGGTGAGGATGGAGAACTTCACCGCTTCGAGGCTGCTGTCATCGGCCCGCGGAGGCGGCATTTTGCTTTCTGGCCGCCGGATACCAAACTACCGACCAGCACCTGGGGTAGGTGACACTGAATGTATAGCTCTTTGCGCCTATGCTGAGCACAGTAACTTTGGTAGCTGTTTTAAAAGGCAAGCCTTGGCAGTGTGGTCGAATCTTCTCACCGTTTATGTCTGCTTCTGGGATTATATAAGCAACACGTGCCGGCTATCACGGAGCACGGCTGGCAAAGCTCAGGAATCCCGTTGACGAACGAAGAGCTGAGCCGAAAGCATCCCAAATCCATCTCTTGTTGACTGACTCTCTATTGCATGTTCAGGTCAGAACGGTCAGAACGCGTGCTGTGCCGCTGTGCAGTTGCACGAGTTGGGCTTGCAGACACTCCACCAGAGGTGCACGCAAGAAAACACAAGTGCGAAACGGACGTACAAGCACCGGCGTCGCTTTTGCTTTTGCTGCTGCAGGGCGGGCCAGTAGCGGCTGGCACTGCACGGTGCAAGAGAGGAGCGATGCGTCAGGCGCAGTCTCTTTCCTGTTTCGCCCTGCGGCTTGAAGCGAACCAGAAACCAGCAGCAAACAGGGGCAGCCATTGCATCATAGCGAACTTTTGCACCTGCCTTGGCAGTAATGAGTAAGACACATGCTGACTAGTCGTGGCGGTGTCGTTAGCTCCGCAGCCGCGGCGAGCCAGTCATTTAGACAGCAAACCTTTGGCAAGCTTCTTTGAATGCGAGCCTGCAGCTGATACTGAACTTGCTACAGCATCTTGCCCTAGGAAGTGAGATCAAAACCTGCAGCGACAAACTAAACAAACCAATCACCTAACGGCAAGATGTGAGGATGAAGCACTCACTAGATCTCATCCAGTGCTGTCTGCGGGAAGGTACGAGCAGCCACCTTGGCTTCTAGGAGAACTCAGGCCAGCCAACCTTCTGCTCACAAGCAGAATCTGTTCTAAGGCTCGCCACCGAGCCCCAGAACCTCGGAATGGTCAGCAGCATGCTCTGCAGTGATTCTGTAGCCCAGAGTATTCCCGCAACGGAATCAATAGGTCTGGGTCCAAGCTGCTTCTCCACCTTGCCATCTGCGTCGACAAGGATAGCCCACCGAGAAGCGGACACCTCAGTCACTTATCAAGCTCCCAACTAGCAGACGCATGGGCTCGGCGAACATCCAGAAACGCATCCCTGCCAAGCTGCGCCTAGGGCCGAGGACAGCGACAAAGCCTCGCAAAGCAGTGGGAAAGTGAACCTTAGCTCGGCATGCCCTTCATCTCCACGGCTACCGGAGTCGACAGAGATAAACAGAGGCTGCAGACGAAAACTTTGTTGCAAAAGCCTGGTTCGCGCTTTGGGAATCGCCCGAGCCTCCGCACAACGATGCTCACACGGACACCCAGGGCGGAAGCGGCGACTCAAGGTTCGTAAATAGCGTGGCATGTCCAAAACGTGGCGCGTCCAGAAGTTGTAGGAGGGCTTGGGTGATCCTGCTTGCATGCTATCCGGGGCGATTGCGCTCAGCCAGCACCAAGAATCCATAGTGCAGGGGCTGGCACCGTGTGTCCCTTCGGCGCGGTGGGCACTGCACGAAGCCGCAGAACTGGGTGAAACTGAATGGGCTTACGTGATACATGGGCTCGGCGACCCCGAAGCCAACATGCTTTAGCATTTCCTCACATTCAACTCAATCACAGTCACGCTTTAAAGAGTCGGTGCCAGATGTGCCAGCGTGTCGTATGCTTTTTGAGAAGAAAGCTCCCACGAAGACAGCCTGCGACGCAACCACTCGCGCTAGGCAGACGCAGGGGAAGCAGTGTCAAGGGGTGCAACCGTTAAACAGAAGCAACTTATGCATCAGGTTGCAGGAGGAGTTGTGAAGTTCAGCAAATTGCCTAAGAGCATCTTGGAGGAGCTACATCAGACCCAGATTGGGTACCCTCGTTCTCTGACACAATGCTTGTTTTGGCCTGATGGCCCTCTTAAATCGGCGAAGTCTGGCTAAGAGGGATTCGGGATCAAGAGCCTGAGATCAGCTCACGAGTCACGGATGTCAGAACAAGAAATACATTCCGATTCGCGAGGTCGTTTCTTGGAGCTTGACCTGCTTCCACCTTACACTGCGCGCTGCCAAAATGTCAACCGGCATGTCCGCTTTCGATTACACGTTCCGATCCTGACGGACTTAGACTCGGGCAGAAACAGTATATGGCGCATACATGCACTTGTGCATGGTAGCAGCAGTGCCACGACACCGAAAGCAGCATGTTACGGGCCGCATCGCGCAGGGATCGCGAGTTGCCCCATGAGCTTGACTGCTTCTCACTCCGACGCGCCCACGCCCACGCCTCCCATAATGTTGATGTTCTTCTCAGCGTACTTATCAAGCAAGGATTGGAAGCCTTGCCCCTCAGCCGTTCAGCCCGGGGTGTCTGCCTGCCAAGTGAACTTCGAGAACATTGTCTTCGATGTTCGAAATCATGTGGGCTGTCCCAGCTCGCCTTCGGGTAGAACCAAATCAAGGTCTTCTTTCCTGAGTCCTTGAGGGTCTTTAGCGACACCTGCAATGGTATTGGCATGTTACTGTGGCATAAACTGTCAGCAACATCTCTAGCCTCGTTTCCAAGATGGTCGCGAAGACTGAAATCCGGAATCGCGTCGCCAGTGTTCGGCATGTCGTCTTAATGCAAAGCGATAAAGATGCAAGACAGATCCCTACTCCTCTGACTGACACCTGCTGACATGAATTGCCTTGATCTTGACTCGAGCAGGATCAAGCAATGGCTCTGGGAGTGGCAGCCAACAGCTGGACCGGGCGGAGAGAATGGCGGAGACTCTTTTCAGCCTGCTGTGCGGGTACAAAGGTCAGGCGCCGCCGCCGGTCTTCTCCAAGAGCTGACGCTGCCTGAGCCCGGCCATATCCGGGGGCCAAGGCGTGTCCAAAAGCCATCTACGTAATCGGTCGAGATGCAGCGAAAAACCCCGGCAACGGCTTTCCACCTGGGCTTTGCTTCATCCAAGCACGGAGGCATCACGAGAATGGTGGCTACACCTTTTGTCAAGCATCTGATTTATCCTCCAATTTAGGTCAAACCTGTTCAGACAGGCTGCCAGAGCCTTTCCGGAACTTTAGACCGTCATGATCTTGGCGACCTTTCTGGTCGTAGATGGAGCCTATGCGCAGCCAGTCTTCTTGCGGGCCTCAGGCACTCTTTACATGTGACTGCGTGCGCACTTACGAGTCTTGAGCTTAGGACGGCTGAGGCTGCGACCAGGAGAAGGCTTTCTGCGCGACCTCTCGCCTGCCCAGCCTCTATGGAGGTGTCCAACCAAAGGTCATTTCGCATGTGAGGCTGGCAGCAAAGCTCACCTAGACCGGTGCGCGACATGTTTGGCTGAAGACCTTCGACGACAGCCAGTAACCTGCACACCAGTCCATGGCAGTCCTTGCCTCCAACGCTTACCAGTGACAGGCACAGCTAGCCTATCAGTTTTGTGCCAAGCCGCGTGCTGCTGGGCCTTTTGACTGACGGGTCGGCACCCCAAGACCGCATGATCTTTCCTGCAGCAGAACTGGAAACCTCCCGGTGCTCTGAGCCTGTGCACCTGCGGCCCTGTCCTGCGACGCCACGCTGCACTGCCTCCAACCCGGCACCCTGCTCTACAGAGGGCGGTATGGTCGCCACGTCGTCGTCGCTCGAAACCTCACCTTTGATCAAGCGGAAAGATGTAAAGGCCCATTTGCAACTACAAGGAGTTAGCTGGAGTTACTCGCGGTGCTGCGGCGCGGAGAGGTTATGGATGGCTTTTAGCACATTATGCTACCATGCAGGTGCTCTTGCAGAGCTGGTACATGTATGTCCCAAAACGACTCCAAGATGCGCGGCTCACTCTCGACGTCCCAGCCATCTGCACATCGCTCATCCAGATCTCCGGCCAATCTATCCCAGTAGGCCGCGTCTGTGTACCTGATGACTAAGCATGTTCTGGATTGGCTTGAGGTTTGCTGCTTTGGACATTGTGCCCTGGAAACTCAAGGAAATGCAGACAAAGGGCCACACCAAACCAGATGCATCTTGCTTGTCCCAGATGTGCTCCACGGTGTCCTGTGATGAAAGCTCCTTCTGAAATACCTGCGCAAGTGACTTCTTTAGCCCGTCCTCGTAAAGGTATCCTGCTGCTGAGTCAAGCCGGTCACTCCGCTCGTAGTGGGGTGCCTGTGCCAAAGCTCAGACGCCGAGAACACTTTGGAGGTGTTCTCTGCCATGTTTCGGGAGCCTCTACCATGAACATTAGGTCCTGGGCAGTAACGCATAGGCGGGTCCGCGCGAGAGATGTAACGGAGCTGTAACGGAGCATTAACGAGAATGGAGCTGCAACGAGAGCTGTAAGAACTGCATCGCAGGCGAAGCGGAGCTGCTCGGGGAGGCACTCAGCGTACTACGTTTGTCTCGAAAACACGAGGTTGGAAGCCCCAGACGTCCAGGAGCCAAAGGGAAGTTTGCATTCCGCGTACCACCTTTGTAATCGAAAACACGCGCTTGGAGGGTTGGAAGCTCCAGCGACCTTCGGAATTTGTCCTTGGAAACATGCAGTCTGGGGTTTAAATTGTTGGCTCCAGGAATCAGAATAGCGTCGGTGCGGATCTACCAGCAAGCCATTCCGAGTACTACACTTGTCCTCCACCACCAGGAGAGACCAGGACTACTAGCAACGATCAGAAGACCCACAGGAGGCCACCAAGAAAACCAGTAGGAGAACACAAGAAATCACCATGACACCGGAAGACCGAGAGACCACCAAGTGACCAAAGGAAACGACCAGGAGACTATCCGGACAGAGGAGTTGAACACCAAGAGATGATCAGAAGACCTTCCACGGCGACCACTGCGACCACTGGAACAGCATGGCCCCGCCAGAAGGTTGCAACCCCCCACAAAAATTGACCAAAAGTCATGATTCATGATACACGTTGCTAGAGAACACCCCCCAAGCATAACCGGCCTTCTCTATCGGCTCATCGAAATGATCGTCACCGTCTAGCGGCCGTGGGAGGTGACGTCCTGTCTTACGGAATGACTGCCGCTCTTAGTGCTGCACGTTTGCAGCCACGGTTCGAGTCCTTCGATGTCCTGAGAGCCACCACTGCTGCCTCAAATCTACACTGCCCGACTCCAGACCCTCGAGTCTAAGAGCGGAGAGCGCCGCAAATTAAAAGACTTTGCTGCAGAATGCAGGGAAGGTCTTGGTATTCGGTTCTTAGCTGCCCTAGCTTGCAGCAGGCTGCTGTCGTCATCGTGCACGGCACACCTCAGTCATGGAGGGGCCGTGTCGATTTCTCGGCTTTTTGCAAGCTCCTAAGTGCTCGGCATCATGCGAGGGCGGAGCTTCGAGGCTTTTCCGCCAGGCCTCGGGTGCAAGTTCCTTCCGCGCAAAAAGCTTGGGCCTCCACATCCTGAGCCTCGGCGGTTTCGGTGGCTGCGGCTTGTGCTTGTGAGCGTCCTCTTGGCGTTCGGATACGAGATGTCTGATATGTTTGGTGTTCCACAGATACTCATAAGAGACTCATAGATGGAAAACCCGGGGGGCCGGGGGAAAACCCCGCCTCCGCGGCCTTGTGAGCCGTGGCTGGCTCCCTCGGCCTTTGTGGGCGCCTTGGCGGCTCCGTTTGACCTCACTGAGGAGAAGATCAAAGCGTGGCCCAAAACTTGGGTTCTCCCACGCGGCCCGGGCCAAGCCGGCGTTCCCGGCTGCGTGCGAAGATGGCCGTGGCGAAGGAGGCGTTCGAAGGCACGTGATTATGGCCTTGGGACTCCTTGGCCAACTGGCTGCAACCAGAAGCGTCCTTTAGGATGCGTGTGAGGCGTCCTTGGGTTGCTGAGAGGGCTCCTGCGCCTGGCGAGTCGGAGGTGCATCGCACATTGGGAACACAGGGGCCATGACCGGTTGCCTGCCAGGCCAGCGGGGGAGGAATAGCCGCAAAGTCTCGTGTGCTTCGCACACGGCACGACGGGCCAATCCCGAGCCTGAAACAGACAGCCAGGGCCTTGGATGGAAACCGCTACGTTCGTTACACTGGCTCTCACCAGGCCATGGCCAAGCCTCTTCACCACCGAAGCTGGCCTCTGAATGCCACGGCACGGCACGGCGTTTGCACAGCTCGACACAAATGCCGCAGCTGAAGATCTGACAGTCTGCAGCTACGTATCTCGGACAGAATCGCGGAGCGGCTTGTGCCAACATTTCCCTTGGCATCTTTTGGAGGGTTTGCTGCAGAGCAACAGCCACGGACTCCTACAACGGCCTTGGGGAGAGCCGGCGGCGGATGCAGCTCCCAGACATCCTTTGCTGACGACAGCAACAAAAGCTTAGGGGAGGCTGCATGAAGTTAGTCTCAACAATGTCCCAACCGTGCCGTCCGGGACTCGGTCTGCTTGCTTTGGGCCGGGGCTTCAGAGATGAGGCACCGAGAGGCACGAGGCACCTGAGACTTGCAAAGCACACCTAAGCCAGCTCCAAAGGTGCCTCGGTGGCCGGATGGACCATGTCCAGCCGCTCAGCCCGTCACAGCTGCATCCACCAAAACCTTGACAAAGACAGCAAACATGCGTATATCCCATGCAGCATCAACCCTGCTGGCCTCCTTCCAAGGCACACCATGATAGCCGGATATGATCTTGGCTGCAGCATCCTGGAATGCTGGCATGATCTGCCTTATTCTCGCGGAGGGGTGGCTGGCCACTTGCCTGGCTGACCGCACGCGCCAAGCAGGTCAAGCCGCCAGCCGCTGTGGCACGGGTGGCGCCCTGAGTGTGACGGCGTGTGACACTCCAAACTTCAGCTTAGCCAATGCTATGCGCGTCAACACGAGGTGTTGTGACGCTGACGCCTGGCGTGAAAAGTCCGAAGTCACAAGAAAGGGGCCTGTCGTCGCCGAAAATGGAAGCACGAGAAGAGGTCGCCCCTTCAGCAGACAGCTTGTGCAGACCCACGCAATGAATCCACCAAAAGTCCACCGAGCCCGAGCCGCCAGCTCAACTGCTGGCTTGAAGAAAGCCCGCAGATCCGGCACATGCAGCTGCTCGGGGATTCCCTGGCCGTCGCAAGAGAGGTCCCACACCCACACGATAAGGGTTTGCCGGGCCGGTCCTGTATGAGCAGGAGGGCCATTCCACACGAGCATCTGCAGGCAGTGGCCGGTCTGGGGTCTTTTTTGTAGCGCACCCGTGCTCCCTCTGCAGCCTTGTTTCTGGATGCTGCTCCGACCCATGCTTCAAGTGGCATGACTCCTCCTTCGCTCAAACCTTGGACCTAAACTGTCGGCGATGCGGAGATCGAACAGGGGTTCGCGCTCACAGGGTTGCGACAGGTACTGCCACAAACACAGAATGATCAGTCCATGTCCTTTTGGCTGGCAGCTGTACTGATGCACAGCACGAGGACGACAAACAACAAGGCCAAGGTGGAGGGACAATGTTGCAGGAGCCAACATTTGGCTGCGTAGCTGTTCCAGCTACGCTTGGCCTGCGAAACGGGTGGGAAGATTTCAAGTTGAAGTCCATTCCCGCATTTGCCCGCGATGAAGGCAGGCTCTATCGCAGAAAGACTTTGGACTGTACAGACTTTATATGCATCCTTGGAAGGATCCTCCCAAGGCTTCTGCCAGCACAGGCCGCTCACCTGTCAAAAGCATCGAAGGAGCGCTTGAGTCAGTTTTGACAGGCCAGCGGCAAAAACAGGCATCAAAAAACTTTGCCCGAGGCCTCCTTCTGGAGTCCGGCTCTCTACACTACTACTCTACACTCGACTTTCCGGGTCCTTGTCTCGACAAACTCCTACTGGCTAACTTCCTCACTTGCCCGGCGCTTTGTCCTGCGTTCATGAGCAGCTCCGAGAGCCACCTGACTTCAGCACCTGCAGTCCTTGCCAATGTGCACCAGGCCCACCGTGATATCGTCCACAACCGCACCACCCTCTTCGCGGATCCAGCCTCACAAGAGAGGTCCCACATCCCAAGCTCCCTTGGAGCCGTGGACTCGAGCTCCGGGGCCCGCTGAGCGTGCGACGATCCCAAGCTTCTTTGGCCAGCAGTCCAGCTGCTTGCTCGCTCTCTTCTGCTGGCCGCGTGCTGACGAGATCGACGGCCTGACACCACCAGCACCACAAACGGTCATTTCCTCCTCCTGCTCCTCCTCCTCCTCCTACTCCTCACCGCCAACACCAACAATAGCACTCTGACAACTAATAGTACCAGAATCAGCAAAGCATAGAGGCAGCAGCAGCAGAAAAAGACAAAACAAGCAACGGTGATTATGAATGACTGAGTATCGATACCCATGACTGTAATCATGACGATGACGACGGCGACGGTGGTTGATGAAGGTAGTAGCGAGGCTGATGCTGATGATGCTGACATGAGCAGCGTGGCCGTATCCTGGCTCACCAATACTGCACCGCTCGCTGTACTATATAAGCAAAATCACGCCGAACGCCAGAAATCCTGATCGCCACATTCGTGTCGCGGTGGTACTAATAGATGGCATGGGCACCAGCCGCTGCAGTGGAGATAATCATGGCAATAGTCGCACGTTATTAAGACCACTTACGGTTACAGTAGCTTTGAGAAAGAGTGCTGCCTGATACACTCACGCTTGTACAGCATTTCATGGCATGGCCGACCCATAGCAGCCACAGCATGAACGCACGCTCCGAAAAGGCACATGCTTCTTCTGTAGCCTGCACCCTTGACTGATGCGCCTCCTGTGCAGTTATGAACTCCCACACACCATCGCTGCAGACAAGCAGTAGCTGCTCTGTCCCGGTCTGCAGCTCCACCCTCAGTTGCGTACAATGAAGTCTGCAGTCTACACTCCGCATACTCGGCTTCAGGAGTGTGCCGCGTGATCTCTGGCTCAGCGGTGACCCCACACTCTTGATGACCTGCACTTGCCAGACTGCAGGGTGACATGCCAATACCGGCATCGGCGACCGCCACAGTCCGATCGCAGATAAGGTGCCAATGATATCACCCAAACATCGCGACATATTGAGACCGGGATATCGAGAGTTTTTTGCCTGGGCTAGAAGTTTACTTGAGAAAACTGTCATTCTCTGAATCTCCCATCATCAATGCGACTAAGTAGCATAAATTCGATGGTTTGTGTAGCCATCATAGACCTCGGTTCACGACTATGGCATTTGGTGGGACTGTCAAGAGAAGTCACAGCCGCCTTCTAGTGGCCCCCTTGGATGCCAAGCGGCGATCGTCCCACCCTTCTTTTCTATTCGCTCGCGCTCACCCTGAGACACAGCCACAGCCGAGAGCCAACCGAAAGGAGTTTAACAAGAGCCAAGCAGAGCCTTCACGTTCGGCTTGTGGTCTTTGGTCAAGGACGTACCGATCCACTTGCCACCTGACCATGCCCAAACCCAGAACTCTCCTGTTTCAATAAGAGAAGAGTCACATCTGCTGCTTTCGGGGCCTTTCTTGACCCCAAAGGCAGCAGTGCTGTCCGCCTGCGTGTATTGCTTCGTCGCAGCAGTCTCACCTAGACCTAGACACATCGCAACTCGGCGTAGCCACCACGTGAGCAATCGTCAGCTTCTCATGCAGATGATCCTTGGTTTCTAGTGAATCTGCACGTCCAACTCGAGATTGCAATGCTCGCAGGGCTCGTCTGCAAAAGCATATCCAAGGCTCCCACAGGTACGTATACCTACTCAACAGCCTTTTCTGGCAAGTGGCGAGGAAGCAAACAGTGGCTGTGGTGCCGGACATCTGCGCGCTCAGACGTTTGGTCTGATCTGCGGCCATGACCTAGGTGCACCGAACGGAAACGCAAATGCCAGCATTGCGGCAGTGCTTTTAAAACTGTGTCCAGATGCATTGAAGGAGCAAGCTTCTGAACCTTCTTGAAGGAATCGACAAGACAAGCGCCGACTTCGGGTGATTTCGACCTCAAGCACAGCCGGCCGTGAACCATCTCCAAGTCGGGCAAACGTGAAATAAACTGGTGCTGAAAATAACGGGGAATGTCCATGCAAAGCCAAGCAGAACCTTTCATGCCGCTGTATAATGCGGTGTTGCTTTGATAATGAAAACCTGCGTCCTCAGACATACTGACATGACTGTTGCAAACATGTATGTATGTGTATATATCTATATACATACATACATACATACATATACATATGTACATATATGGAGGTGGAGAAATCCGCCGACCCCCGGGGCGGCGCCCAGAAGTTGTGTTTCACTGTTTCAGTTTGTCTAACGACAGGGCCCACCGGCACGCCGCCCCCGGCCTTCGTTGGTTTGGCCATGCATATATACAGTAGGGTATTATGATTGTTTTCGAGTTCAAAGCAGGCCCAACCCATGAGGCCCTCGGTGCCCACCGTGCATGCACGTCCCTGCTCCCCACCCGGATGTTCTCCCACAGCTCTTACCGGCACGCTGCGTCCGGAGTTTCGGCAGCCGCCATGCATGCACCTTCCTTCAAGCCCTCCACGCGACTGCTCTGCCACAGCGTACCTTCCCAAATGTGGGACTGCACGGCGGCATTGGCACTGCGGGCAATGGTACGTGTAAAAACGCTTTCGTGCTCGCACAACTACGCCGTCCTTGATCCAAAATTGGTGCCCACAAGCTGGCTCTTTCTGCTTTGTTCTTGCTTCGACAGTGTTTCGCGTGTCGATGCGGCCGTCGAATGTTGGACTGCACGACGGCATCGCGCTGTGGGCATTCGTGTGTAGGCCCCTATAGGCATATAACATGAATGAACCCTTATATGGTCTGTGAACCTTGAACCATTTTAAGGCTTGTTTCGTCTTTCCGCAGCATACCGCGAAAGCGGGTAATAGGGAACCCCCCCGCCCTACGCCTAGGAGGTCGGCGACATTGGCGGCAGCCAGTAAATCGGGCAGTCGGGAAGCGCTCGCTCCCCGAGCGCATGCGTCTTGTGAGTTTCAGGCTTTTCCAGGCTTAGCTTGGTACATAGCCTTGCTGGCTTTGCTTTAGCAAAAGGCGCGACCGCCAGTGCCGCCGACCCTGCATCACGCGTTTCGCAGCCATTCCCCACGCTATGGCGGGTGTATCCCAGGAGGCCAGCCGGCGGCGAGCACCATGAGCACTCAGGGCGCCCACAACCGGCCCTGGAGCGCGAGGCAATGTTTTGGCAATTCTTGAGTGGGTTGCAGAAGACCGCAAAGGGAGCGCATCATCAGCATCATCGAGGTTCGGCGGAGGGGGGGTGCGTGGCCTTGCTCCAGGCTTCTACCTGCGCTGCCCGCCCGTGGGCGCAGGCCCTAGAATAAATAGAGAGATAGATAGATAGATCGAAAGATAGATAGACAGATAGGCAGATAGATAGACAGATAGATAGGTAGATAGATAGATACATAAGATAGATAAGTAGATAGAGAGATGGAGAGATGGAGAGACAGAGAGATAGAGATAGAGGTAGATATATAGATAGATCGATAGATGGGTAGATAGGTAGGTAGATATGTAGATAAGGAGACGAGGAAATAGGTAGATGAGTTATATAGATTATAGGTTCATCTTCATCCATGCCAGCAACTACTGTCATTCCTAGCTGCTTAGCTGAGTGCTAAGCCGACGAGTCGACGAAATGATACTCAGACCGAAACTGAAACTTTGACATGAAGAATTTCCAAGCACAAGTTCTCAATCTCAACCACAACCCTCACAGTTACCTGGCTTCCCGGGACCTCGGGTCCTTCAGGATGATTTTCGGTAGAAAATCCTGCAGCGGAGCATCTAAGAAGCATCTCCTCTCCTTCAGAGAACTCCCGGCGGCCTTCGCGAACTGTGAGATGTCGTGGCCCTTCTGGCCATGGCCGTCAAAGACTGCGAAGATGGAGAAGGTGTCCTTCAGCGCGTGCACGTGGCGTGGGGCGGCGCGGCATTGAAAGCGTAGGGCGTTTCGGTTTCGACGAACTCTGCTCACCGCAGTCCATCTTCACTAAACACCAGGAATCTTGATTTGGACTCTCTGGCTTCAGACCTCAGCTCGACTTGTGCTTTGAAGACCCCACTAATGCAGGTATCCAAAGCTGAATCAAGCCAAGAAACCCTTTCGGCAGGTGAATGCAACACCCTTTCCGGAAATGTCAATGTTGTCACCGAGCGCTAGGAGAGACCTAACGGGAGCAACGGGGGGGACTCTCGGACTCCACCAGTCCGGACGCTGGCTCCGTGCAGCCCAAGAACTTACTCGAGAAGGATGCCATTCCCTGATCCTTGGTGCCAAATGGACGCACCACCCAAAACGAGTGCCAGTGCTTCCCCTGTGGGCCCGGGCTGTGGTGGAGCCCATGTAAGTTTTCGGGCCACCGCCGGCAAGACCCATGTCATCGATGATGTCAATCTCGGTGGTGTCCCAAGCAGTGCTTTCCGAAATAGGTTGACGCGCCGGAGACTCTAGACTACTCTACGGGGCGACAGTGCCAAAATTGAAGCTATCGTTGTATCCCTGTTACTGTCACTTCCCTCTCTTAAAGACCTCTCGCAGATCTCGCCGCTCGGCTCAATGAGGTTCATGCCACTGATTTGGCTTCGAGCTGCGCCATCAGCTCACCTTGCTTCCCGCTTCCACCACACGAGAGCCTCTCTGATGGACGCGTCCAAAACATGTCGGGTTTCCGGCAGTCTGCTGCAATAGCTGCTGTGGATTTCTCTGCCTTCACCTGGGCCGTGCTCGGTGCTGACGAGCTGTGAGCTTGCAGTAAAGTCAGCAGCCTCATCGACGATCAGTCGCTTTCGCTCCTTTCCTGCCTGATCACGAGGCCAGGGAAAGGTTGCAGGTGGAGATGACGGTGCGAAAACGCTTTGCAGATGCCTTCTTGGCTCCTTTTTTTTGGGCAGCTCCGTTGGAGGCGCAGCAGCCCATCGTCCTTGCGACGATATCACTTTGTCTGGAGTTCCAGACACAACACAGGCTTCAAGGGCTAGACCTCTGCCTACGCCTAACTCCCCTCTGGGCTGTAGCGTCCCCTTCCCCCCACTGAGCCACGACATCAGGCTGCGAGAACAGCGTGATGGCACGATACTACTCAAGGCAGTTCCCGCGAGTTTGCATGCCAGGCCCTTTAAAATGGAGACCCATTGATCTCACCACACGATGCGACAAAGGCGGTGGGCAATCCACAACCCACACACAGTTCCAAAGATGCATTTCGACGGTTGCATTCTGAGCTACGAGCTGCGCGAACCTTTAGTTACAGCAGTTTCACACTGGCCTGGAAGAGTTCTTTTTTCACACCCCTGCTGCCAGTGCCACATCTCGACCCCGGAGGATTGCGAGCTGCTCTTTCGCCTCACGAGTCTCCGGCACAAACCGGGCATTGAGCGGTCACTCACCTTACATCGGCCTCCTGCGGAAGGAGAGCTTCCACCGGGAGGATCTGGAATCCTGGAAGGATGAAAGGGACATTTCATCGGGTGGCTGCGGCTGCAGCGGCTTGGTTAGAGCCTTTGTCGTGCGGAATCCACGGGCCAGAGCTGGCGGAGGTCGGCTTCCTTGCATGCTTGTCAGTGTCTTGCTGACTCCGACTGGGTGAAGCATCCACACACCCCGACATAGTGCGGACTTCAGTTGGCTTTTCACTCAGTCTCCAGCACGTCCAACTTGTCTTGCAGGGCCTAGCGACCGCACTAGGAGGCCCCTCAAAGAAGTCTGGCGAGCCTACTTATGGAGCCTTACAGGGACCATCTCGCACCTCGAGGTCCGAAGGTCCACCCAGCCCAGGTAGTCTGAAGGTAGCCCGGAACGTCCCATTCTGGGCAGGCACAGAACACGCGTCGAGTGAGCACCACAGTACTCCACCGTTTGAGCCAGGTGACTGCATCGACGGCCTCGTTCACCGGACCAATCGCCATGGAGATCCAGGAGCCCCGAAGCTCCTGCGGCATCCAAGGACCACATCCCCTCTACCTCCCGTCAAGCAAAACCTTCCGCACCTCTTGGTACACCGTCCAGTCTGCACGAGGCCAGCCGTCGATATGAATTTCCACTCGCTGCATCAGCGTCGGCACCTCTGCAACCGAGCGCCCGGATCCAATATGATCCAATGCGGAGAGCTGGATTCCACGAGCTCCCAGCCGCTTCTGCTCTCTCCTCTTGGGTCCTGAAAGCCCCCGCGCGGAACCCGCTCTCTGGCCGAAGTGGCCGCTTGAAAAGCGCAACAGAAAGCCCCAAGGCGCGGGCGCCACGGCCGGCCCTTGCTCGGGGCCCGAGCCGCTCTTGCCTCGAAATGACCCAGGGACCAAAGCCTCCCTGGGTCTCTGAGAGGACTCGGATCTCACCAGGGCCGCAGGCTCTGCAGGCTGTCCAGAAGAGACGAAAACTTGATGCGACCTTGCAAGAGGAAAGGAGCTCCTCCCTGTGTTGCCTCACGCTTCTTGCCGCTGTCTGGCCAAGCCTTTTTTGGCGCTGGGCTCCGTTGTCTCGGACCTGATCCAATGAAGCCGTGGAACCACACCAAGTTCAAGCACGGGACCAAGTTCAAGACAAGCATGCATACATACATACATACATACATACATACATACATAAATACATACATACATGACATATCTTGCTGCGCTCAGATTACAAGACGTCCTTGCGTGAAGGCGCCTTGTGATCCCCAGCGCCGTGAGAACCAAGTTGCCCAAGTTCTCTTGATGGGCTCCAGGTAGCTGCACCTGCGTCCAACCCAAGTAGGACCAAGTAGGAGAGTGTGATGGTCAGAGAATCGTGTTCCGGAGCATGCCTCCATCCGTTCAAGCCCGAATGCCAGCCCCTGTCCAACTGCCTCAAGTGCCGATGAATGGCATACGGTGGTGACAGAGGCCTGCAGCTGGCCTTGGACACGGCCTCTTTCGCAGACCAAATCCGCTGGAAGGTGGCCTGGGCTTCAACTCAAAGAAGCAGTCTTGCTGACTTTGCTCGATGGCCATTCCACAGCTAGCCGGGGCTGGCGTATCGCACTGCGCTCGAACTGCTCTTGATGCATTCCCGCTCTGCGTCAGTCAGCACGGACTGCAAATCCTGCACATGTCCGCGATAGAAATAAAGAGTGCATGACCCTATACAAACAAGCCTGACGACGTCACAAATTACATCTGGGGTGACTGTTCCATGAGAGGCTGCACTGTACAGACATGACATCAGAAATTGACCAGGCATGGATTTCATCTGAAACGGAAAAGACCAGCTTGCAGATGAGCCGGAAAGCATTCTCAGCGTCGGCCGTAGCCACTCCGAACTTCCAAACTCCCACGAGGCCTGGTACCAAGTCTCGTCCTCTCGCTCTCCACGCTCTTGCTGCGGTGCGGAAACATCAGCACCTCTTTGGGGGCAAATCGCATAGCAGGTGGGCAGTCTTCACTCGCACAGCTCAGGGACCAGCCGACAAGGAAGATGGGGTCGCTCGCTAAGACGACCCAGTTGCCATCGTGGGAAACATTGAAGTTGAAATTCCTCCGGGATACAAAAGTGAGAAATGCCGCACAATGCTACAGTAAGCAGAGCTTTGTTTCATCCAAGGTGCGGCAATGTTGTCGGCAATGGCGACAGCAGAAAAGGCTTCTTTCCCTTTGTGCCTGTCGTGGGGCAGAATCAGGGATGCAGTTCTCTTGCTTGCAATCAGGTCCAATGGAAGCCCCATGAAAGTGCAAACAGGGCACGGCCAATTTGGATACCAGCAAAGTCTGATTGGCCCAAGGCCTCTCACGGCACAACTGTGATGCTGTTTTTTGCACCGGGGTGGAAGACACTGAACTCCTTTGCCTGGGCGCATGCCCGGAGCCCCAGCAAACGACCCAGCAAAGTTCGCTTGCGGTCTGGCCTGAGAGTCGCTTTTTGAACACACCTCTTTTTCGCAAGCATCTCGTGTGTGTGTTGGTCTGCAAGGGCTCCGAGCAAAGCTCTGTAGGACAGGATCGACTCTTGCTCTTCAGGCTTCAACAAGGACAACCTGAGTGCGGCAACTTCGGCAACCCACCTCTGCGGTTCTCAGACACAGCACGAAGAGCAGTGGAAACAGAGGGCCACATGCTTCGCTAGCAGCAGTAACCGGAATTCCTCGCCATCGGATCCTCCGCGGGGCTTCCAGTCGTTGATGTTCACTGCCCACCGAAAGCCTCTCCATGCACGCAGCGCGCATCCGAGCGGAAGCCGCCGTGTCTGAGGAGGGCGCGTGCTGACACGGGGCTGCTGTCCCAAAAGCTGCCGGGTGCCTCCGATTGCAGAGGCTCCCGCCCAGACATGGCGACGTGACCCGTTCCGACCTGCAGGGAAAACTGTCGCAGCTCCTCCAGCAGCTCTTTGGCCAAAGGTGCCGAAAGCCATGACGCACTTTGACCCATCTCAGGTCCCAAAGTGTTAAAACGTACTTCTGTCTTCTTCGGTCATTCTTTGCTCTTGTCTGCGGTTTCTGCCACTCCCGAGCATGCAACTTCCCTTGCTGGACAACTGCTTGCCTTTAGCTTGGCCGGTCTCAGCTTCATGGGTCCAGTTCTCTGAGACATGCGACAGAAAGAAGTCCTGGTGCTGCGTGCGAACGGCTGGATCAAGCTGATACATGTAATTACCGGCCTGCATGCGCATCACAATTCCTTTGCGGCCAGCGTGGCTTATGACGCACATGCTCCGCCAGTGCAGACTTGCATGGTGCCTTCGGCAATCGCAAATTGCAGGTCAGACTCTGGGAGTCTGACCCTGCCAAAATCTGGCCAGTAACACGACGCCTGGTTCCCCTCCCTGCCGCTTTGTAGACAGTGGCCTGAAACCTGGTTGTGCAACAGCTGCATGCAGCTGCCACAAGGATAGCCGCTCATGAAGTGCAACGCGCACAAGAAAAAAGTCAAGCAGCCTTGCACACTCATCCATCTTGGATGGTGGCGGGTACTGCTCCTTGCAAGATTTCAAGCGAAGGGTACAGCTCGTACAATGTACAGCTTGTAGCCTGTACAATTTCGCAACATGTTACAGTTCTGTACAGGTCATCGTCAAGTCAACTGTAAGGCTGTGCATCGGCCGAGACACGCTTGGTGTGTGTCTTGGCAGACTTCCAAAAGAACACACAAGCGACTGTGTGTTTCTAGCATCTACGCAACGTCACAGCGCAGCTTGTCGACCGTAGCAAGCAGCTGACAGGTCTCTAGTCCCGGCAGCAGCGCCACAGTCCGTGCAACATGCAGAGATAATATCATATGAGTGCAGCTGCTAATAGCTATTGCTGCATTCCTGGCCCGACAAGCTCATATTAACAATGGTGGCCGGCGGGTGTAGATCACGCAGCTGTAGGGATGGAGGAACCTTCACTGCTTCAAAACCAAGACTGCTACTTTTGCATTACCAAAGATGCCGCCAAATCGGGCACAAAATTGATCCGTGGCGTAGGGTGATCACGGCTTGTGCAAGCCAAGAAGCATGTTGGTGCCTGCACTGGCCCTCAACGACTCGGAAGATTCGGTTTCTTGGTGGAAGACCGTCGCACTGTTGTGGTAACGCGCGTCCGCTGAGTTGAAAGCCAGCGACCACTCAGCCTGGAATGGGAAGTCCACCTCCTGATGGCTCAAGAAACGGCGTTGAAAATTGAAGACCGCTACGACGTCATCGCCCGGCCCTCCAACATGCCACCGGTGAATCATCAAGACCTTGTTGTCCTCGTCAATCGTAACATTAACTCCTTCACCTTGCAGCCCTTTGCTTGTGTTCAGCAAATTCCGTCGCAGCCCAATCAAGTCTTTGTGCAGACTGAAAGTGCCAGTGTGCGTAGTCTTCATTGCCCAATCGAGGGGTGTCCCGGCGGAAAAAGGGTTTTCAACCAAGAAGTCTTGGCCCTGGAAAAGCATTGGAATGCCTGGGCTGACCATGACCAAAGCAGATCCCAGCGCAGCGAGCCGAGCCGCGACCCAAGAATCCTCACGGCCCCTTGGTGACACCACCGCAGGGAGTCGCTGCCTGCCGGCCTCATCGTGGCTTTCAATGTAAATCACCCGGCGCAAGAGGGAACCTGGACCTTGGAGCGAGCCTCCGAGTATGGCCGCCTTCAGTCTCTCCATACGTCGGTCCTTGTCCTTCGCTTTTGCGAGCACGTGGAAGACTGGCCAATGAAAGCCGCCATCCCACTGACTGTCGAAGCCCAATCCACCCATGGAAACTTGCTGAGTCAGCGTGGCGTTGCCCTGCAAGTCCTCAGCAATCATCATCTTTCCCTGCAGCCCATGGGCAGCCTCAGTCAACTCCTTTAGCATCAGCTCTCCGTCTGGATTGAAGGTGGCCGAACTGCGGTTTGTCTCAGATCCTCCCCACAAGCGGATGAAGCTTACCCCATCCACTCGCAAACCATCGCAGTGCATAGTGTCCAGCCAGAACAATGCATTGTCTCTGATATAGGACCTGACATGCTGTAAGCCATAGTTCGGGCGAGTGTGGGCCCACGGGGTCTCGGCTCTCTCGTCATTGTAAAAGTAAATTCCTCCGAGATCGTTCTCGAACCATCCATCGAAGCGCCACAAAGGAAGGTCCATGGGCCCCAAATGGTTGTAGACCACATCCATGATCACGGCGATTCCTGCTTTGTGGCAGGCATCGACGAAGCGCTTGAAGGCGTCCGGCCCACCATATGCATGCTCTACTGCAAATGGATAGGCTGTTGTGTATCCCCAGCCAACCTCCCCATCAAATTCAGCGACTGGCATGAGCTCCACGGCATTCACACCAAGCTCAGTCAGGTGATCCAGCTTTGGGATGCACATGTCTAACGTCGCACTTCCCGACCATCCTTCATGACCACAGAAGGTGCCGACGTGAAGCTCGTAGATCACTAGGTTCTGCCAGTCAGGCATCGACCAGTCAGCATCTGACCACTCGAAACTGTCATCGGGATAGACGATTGAGTTGCCCAACGTCTCCCCGTCTTGCTTCCTAGACCATGGGTCTGGACGCCAATACGCCTCACCATCTTCGGAGACAATATGAATCTTGTAAGCGGCCCCTCTTCGGAGAAGATAGTCTCTCGTCGGGTGCGCAGATAGCCTCAGCATCCACCAGCCATCACCCTGGCTTTGCAGATGATCCGTTGGCATCCAGGAGTTCCAGGATGCAGCCACGGAGACTTGCTGTGCATGAGGCGCATAGATTCGGACTTCTGCACCGCCACCGGCTAGAGCATGAAAGCCTTCACCATGTCTCGCACCGAAAGCCGCAATCGCCTCGAAGATCAAGAGCCTCGGCGGCGGGGCTTGTCAGCTGCTGACTTACACGTGCCTCTTGAAAGCATTGTACTACCGTACCAACATAGCCTGGCAGCCGTGTGCAAAGCTTCAGCAGCATGGCAATAGCACACATGGCCCACGAAAACGTGCCGAAGCGCAGGAATCTGGTTCACTTCGGCTCCTTTCCTCGCCGGCTTCACTTTGGGCCGGAGCTGACAGAGACGCACGGAAGCAAAAGGTTTCCTGGCGACAGCAGCCTGTCCCGCCAGTCACAGCAGAGAAATCATGAAGGACTTCGATGATTTTGATGCTCGAGCTGCTTGGTTCCCTCACAAGTGGCAGGCCATTCGGTCTACCGTGAGCTGACGGTGAGACGAAGACAAACGCCGCAGGCGCAAGCGGCGAACCCTAAGCAAGGCGCAAGCGCTTCTTCGCTCGATCCGATTGGGGATCCAATGCCTGTGAAGACAAAAGCGAATCCGATTTTTCAGAAGTAGAGTGCGGCACATCGCTCGGTGCTCCGGAGATGCTCGTCTTCCGACGCTTGCTCTCCCTTTGCTCCGGGTCGCGCGATTGTGCCTTGCCAGCAGACAGACTAGATCGCGGCCCTGGTCTACTTCGACCGTCGCCGGAGTCGCCATCGCTGCCGTTCTCATCCGACACACCTGACAAGGTCCGCGTCTTCTGCTTGGAGCCTGCCGGCGGCTCCTGTGAAAGCATTCGGGGGGCGTCCTGGGCGTGAAGCTCCCTGTAGAGCTGAATGTTCTCCTGACCGACCACGTACATCACTTTCTCTTTGAAGCCCCGTGCACTCTTGTGCAACGTAACGACCTTCAAGACCTTAACGCTGGAGAGCTCCGGCTCGACGTCGCGGGGTTTGGGCTGAGGCGCAGCCGCTTCCTCTGGCTCGTCCTGGCTAACCTGAGTGGCCTCACGTGAGGCGGGTGTGGCCGGTGCGGTTGGCGCGGCCGGCGGTGCTTTTGGCTCAGGCTGGCTGATGCCCAGCCTTTGCCGCATCTTCTGGAGCTCTGCCTGGTCGCTGTCGGCTCGGGAGCTGCGAGTTCTCTCAGACGCTGGGGCCGAGGCCGCACCCGCGCTGACCGCACTGGGGCGGTCACGAGGGCCCTCCGCCAAAGCTTCAAGCCAGTCTTGCTCATCGAGCAACTCTTGCTCTGCCTCTTTTTGCTCTGTCTCTCCCTCCGCCATGTCCTGAATGGATGCAGACAGCGCGGCCGCCTGGCGCTCAAAGGCCTCTTGCAGCAGGTTGGCATGCTTCTGCCTTAAAACATCCTTGGAACTCTTCTGCTCCTTGGGCACCAAGCTGACGCCGCTCCAGCCAGTCACTGTCAATCCAGTCGTCTCAGCATCACCCAGGGATCGGCACAAGAGGGAGATTCGATCCCAGCGCCCAAGTGATCGAAACATCGATTCCGGAAAGCTTGCTAGCAACTTCCTGCGAAGCTCTGCATCTGACAGCCGCTGCAAAGTCGCCAACTCGATGCATTCAGCCAGCTCTTTCGGACCAACTGGCAAGAAGCTTACCCCTTCAAGGCGCGAGCTGGGATCACCCGGTCCCACCACGGCCAGGCTCCGAGAAGCACCTTTGTCACCACGCTCGGCAGCATTTCTCACATCCTTCAGCCGCATCGTGAGGTGCCACGGGGTCAGCTGCAACTGCTCCAGCACCCAACGCGCACAGAACACCAAATCGGACTCGCCCTTGCCCGATTTGTCCCGGTGCTTCTCCAACTTCTCAAGTTCCTGCAAGGCCTTCTGGACCTTCTTGTCATCGGTCAGTAATTCAATTCCCAGTCGCTGCAAACGCTCCTGACCCCGCCTTGCGGCATCCAACAAGCAAACCAGCTCTGACAGCGAAGTGGCTGGCTGTTGGACACCTCCTTGGCCGCCTCCTTGGATCCCCTGCGCCACTCCCTTGAGCTCGGCTCGCGCAGATTTCGCCTCGGGCCACCACTGAAATACACTCTCGGCGATCTCATCGAACAGCGTCTTCTCAACATCCTCGGCAACATCTCCGGAAGACTCCCTTTGCCACTTCCGCTTGGCCTCCAAGTACATGTGGCGGATGCACTCATTGTTGAGCAAGGCAAAGTCCTTGCTCCAAGGGCTGGGAACCTGCTTCTTCG